CAAAAACTACAACAAAAAATACAGGTCCGTATTTAAAAACTCAAAGATGGGGGTTGGCTCAAGTCAGATGACACCCTATATAAAAGATTCATGGACAGATTCTGATAATGAATCCTAAAATATCACGACCACAAAAATGATCCTCAAGGTACAAATTCAAATTTCAGATTGAAAATAATGAATAGTTCGTGAATATGAGTTGGTCTTAAGAAAAGAGTGTTTCTTTGAAGATATTACTGTTGTGGCGAACTCTTTGGCGTAGTCATTTCGAAAAATATAGTAGTCTCTCTATCAGACTACTGTCAACAATTATTAACAAAACCTGATTCACCGACGTTTCTCTTTATGAAACGCTAAATAGTTTTAACCAAGGGTCAGCTACGCAGTACATATTTATCACTATTAGAACTAAGATTTTACGTATGGTGTTGGTTTCTGGGGTTAACCTACCTCCTTGAAATATTTACTCAAATCAAAAAACATTGAAGAACGGTAACTTAAAACAAATAAAATGCATTTCAGTTTTTGTCCTTGCCTTTTCTTGTAGGGTACCAAACAATGGTAGGACTAACAGACAATTGTATATTAATTGAATATTGAGTCAGATAGTTACCTTGATCATGTTCTGAATAACAAGTGAAGCAGGTTGATCAAATTTTGATTCCTTGCAAAACTTGAAATGAGATAAACTCAATTGGAAATCGTTGGAAAATCTTTGTAGAGCTATCTCATATAAATATTTTATTCTCTTCAATATCTTGAACTCTATGCTATTTTTCTTGTCTGCAATTCGTAACTTGTTTCTCCTTAACTTAATATCTCTCAATAAAATTTTTTCATACTGAATGTAGTCCTTGAAATCCTGCAAGTTCTTCATTACTCCATTTATTTTACATTCAAAGTGTCTCCGTTTTTTCATTATTGCCCTGCAAACAAAGAAAAATAATTAAACAACTACTTTTTGGTTGAGAAAAGTGGATTTTGGTTACTTATGATGTCTTCAATCGGTTACTATTCATATTGAATTTTAGAGTATTAGGTGGTTTATCAGACAAGTTTTCGTTTTTCATTGATATGTTTTCACTTACACCCGCTGAAAATATTCCTTCACTTACAACTTTATTGCTCAATTATTCCATAGTACTTGCTGTTACAAAAATAGTAGTGTCATCCCCCTAGATGAATAGTCATACTTGTGTGATGTAATGAAGTAAATCCTTTACATACAGAAGAAAGTCCTAGTACTCCGATAAATAAGAGTAAGATTTATTGATTTTCAAAGACTACAGTTAAAGTGGTATAAAACACGTCAAAGATTACATATAGTCAGTTCACATTTAGAATTGACAATTTTCAAATTGTGTATATTAAGTAAAATAATGTAAACATTATTGAGTAAAAGTATCCTTCTAGCTGGCATAAAATGCTTCAGTAGGTACGATAAAACATTTGAATGTCATATCATATCATATGTCTTCATTTTAAAGGATATATACCTTAGAAATCTAATTTCGACATTTTCAATATCACATTTGTAGTATGGGAACCATGCAACTGAGGCATATTCCAGTGCTGATCTAACTAAAGAAAAATATAAAGAAAATCATCTAAAAGAACAATTCGTTCAGGCCAGTCTCAACACCCTACACAGTAGGTTAATGGACTGACACCTATCAAAAAACAAATACTCCCCTGGCTAATACCACGAAGGGCGTTGGATTATATCTGACAGGTGTCAGTGCAGGATTCTTCACAGAAGTTATTCCTGCATATGCTGTTGGCGATACAACTGCGTTATAGATTTTCAATTATTGGAATACACTTTCAGACCGGTTTGAGGCTGTTTGGCCACTCGTCAGTGCAGGGTAGTGTATATCATCAACATAAAGGTNAATTAGTTTCAAATTAATTTTATGAAAAACGTCATCATTTAGTCTTCGCGTAAAAAATGTATTACTCACTATTTGATCTTTGTTGTGTAAGTTCACGGTTATTATAAAGTGAACTGTAATTACTGGTTCATGATGTATACAAACTTTCACATTATTTTGATTTGATAGCACATAATCAATTAAAGAAGAACTAGTTGAAGTTATTCTTGTTGGCTCATCAACGAGTTGTTCAATTCCGTAAGCTGTAATATTTTTAATTTTTTTGCTGTTGAAAGCCATTGCCCAAGAAATCTATATTTACATCACCTATTAAAGTAAATTTTTTGTTGATTGTGGAATAATCTTCACACCACTCTTCAAATTTATCTAAAAATTTACTATGACACGCATTCGGTGAATGATAAAGTCCAGCAATCAACCACTTTCTTCCATTCAGTTCAACATTAATAAGTTGACACCAGTATGTTTTGTCCAAAATATATTTTTTTCTTCGCTGAATAACTGACATCTTCACGCAAATAAATTAATACTTCTCCAGTATGTCGACTCGAGGAATCACCTCTTATAATGGGGGTATTATAATGAGGGTATTACATGACAACTATTTACCATTTCTCATTATAAATCCTAAAATTTTGCTTCCCTTTGCAGTGATCCCAAGATCTCTTCGATCACCCTGTTGAGTACTTTTCCATCAATATTATATCATAGTCTATAGAATAGACTTTTGTGAAGTGGTGGGCAAACAAATTTACAGAATCGTTTCCACTATGACTGGTCTGGTTTTACAGATACATTGATTGAGGGTATGATGATGCCTTGCGTAAATTGGAGATGTGCTTCCAAAACAAGTTTGGGTTTTGTTAAATATCATATTCAAAAATGTTTAGGTAATTTTTGTAACAATTTTTACTCAGCTCTTTGCATTGAGAACGAACTTGGGAAAATTCAAGATAAGTGTATACATTATTTGTCCTTTAAAATTTTTTGTGTAGTATTTTTTTCCTGAAGATTAGATATTTTAATTCGTGGGAAAACCAAACTGGATAGGTTGATGTTTTGAAACGTTTTATGGGTACAAAAAGTTCAATACTGTTAGAAAAATTGAGTTGCTACATTGATATCATTCAAGTTATACATGTAATCCCAATTTGCCAATGCTAAAAAGTCATTCATTCCAATTACGTTAATATTTTTGAAATCATAGTAATAATTATCAAATTTCAACGATTCCTCTGCATTTACAACAACAATTTCAAGGCTATAAGCATTATGATGATAATTAACATCTATAAGTAATTAATCTGCACAGGCAACTACAGTTTTTAGATGTGAGAAAACAAAGTCCAAAAATACACCATATGTGTTTGGTATGCAATGATTCAATCCAATTGTACTGAGACTATCATTTAAAACAATACTCCAAAAAAGATCTGATCTGAACTTTATATAGCATCAAAAATTACTGAGGAGTGTACAGTTTTCTGGTTTGAAACAGTGTTCCAAGCTTTTGAGAAGCAGCCTTTGCAATTCCAGTGACATGATTGTGCCAAGACATATTGGTGTCCATTTTAACCCCCCAACAAACTTATCGAAGCAGCAATCAGAATTATCTGACCTGGCATTATTATATCCGGTTCGGAGACATTCATTTTTTGGAAAAAACTGATGTCTGGGTTCTTGTGGCATTGAATTGAACCTGGTTACTATTACCCCAATTCGAAATTACTCCTAGATCCTTATTGAGATTTAAAACCTTCTGCTGTTTATATTCATCTTAGTATTTTAAGCCTAAGGATTAAGTGGGGAATAGGAAAAAATACCAGCGTGGTCCAAACAGAACTGGCTGGTATCTCAATCGCCACAAAAGAAATAACCAGGAAAGGAATTTCTGGCAAAAACATAACAATCTCACTGACAGCAGACAAGCCCTATTAGCCTTGAACAGACAATGTGTAACCTCAGGGCTAAAACTAGAGTGCCACCAAGATTTAGCCAAAGCCTCGGTAAACAATAACATTATCCTGAGGTGGGTCGCACAGGGTGATCCTTGCAAGATTACATCCTTTGATTCCATCCCATCTCTCTAGGGAATGAGCATGGGTGTAACATTTGGCAAGACTTTGGGAAAATTTTTGTTTCTATCGAGGAGTTCATAATATAACAAAATATTTTGTCTTCTGCAAATTCTTTACTCATTGGGACCAGAAGAACGCCGGTTTTTAAATTAGGTAAGACTATATTCAATTTCTAATTCTGTAAATTGGAGTACCGCCATTGAATTCATGATATTTTTCTGAGTATATCTGGTATATTACGTATAACTTTCTTTGGTGCATCAATAAAGAGATTATTAAAGGTGTTTACTACAGCTACAGGTGAAATGATCTCCTCAGTTTCATGTATCAGCATAGTGTTAGATTCATCCTTGGATTTACCTTTCACTTCATTTATAATACACACTGGTCAGAACGCTATGTTCGGAAGATACTTCTTTTCTATATAAACTCTTGACTGTTCTACTCCTCATGAAAAATGCAATCCTAGATTGGATGGGGCGGCCATGAATACCTATTTCTTCCAGCTTTACTTTCAGGAATTTTATTGAATCAAATATGAAGCTTTGGTCAAAGAAAATTCCCATACAAGTTTGTGTTGAAGTTTTTATAAATAATGTATTGAGTTAATTCTATGGACGCTACAATGGAATACTTAGAGCGAAAACCACGCTGTCTGGGAGTGATTTTGTTATGATATGCTAAATAGTTTATTATTTGGTTATAAACGACAGTTTCTATTACCTTCCAGAAGCAAAGAGTGGTCCTCAGAGGGTCATCCCTCTGATGATTTTTGGTTGTGTTAGAAATTTTTCCTCCTCTATTGAAAAGTTGGTATTGATATTATATTAGTGGTTGAGAAAAAACATCGAACGTGGGCCTTTTACCCCTCTATGAGGTCAGGTATTTGAATAGAAGTTCAAGGATGTGATTCTTCTGGTTACCGAATTGAAAAAAATATTCTAAAAACTGATTTGTGATATCTTTACTTTGGAAATTATATTTGCATAATAGAGAGTTTTCTGCTGCTTTTTTTACATTTGAGTATTTGTCGGATATATCAGGATTATTGGATATATTCTTTAGCTAGTGCAGTTTTTTTTTAGGTTATCGAGTTCTATACCTAGCTCATTTGATAATGGTATTCCAACAGGTTATCCATTATGTCATGAATCATACATAGTAGTACTTCTTTGCGGATATGTAAGCATTCAAAACAGAAAATGAATCAAACATTGCTTTGCTACACATCCAATGTGTAATAAAGATGTCTCTGCCGAAGCTTCACAGGTTCAAAATGTCGAAACAACTGCAATACTTCCCAGAGGTAGAAATATATTCTTTCCGATTTTTTTTTGTATGAACCAATATTTATTTATTTTTTTTCAGTTTTTATACAAGCACATCTCTTCAAATCTCAAATTATGCTTTTTATGCCTCCGCAATAACCCTCAGACAAACAAATGTTGAGTAGACATATCTCAAACCTAAGGAGCTAGAATTTTTCATATCAGAATATGAGAAGTATACAAAATCTTCTGTCACCAACTCAAATCATACAAAAAACTGATTGGGAAAGACTTCCACATCCCTGAGAAATTCCTTTCTACGAAATTGACGATTAACCAATTATATCACTTGTCTATACACGCCTGAAGAAGCTATTGTATATCGAAACACGTGTGGCATTTTTGTAAAACTGTGTAGTGAAAATCTTACGATAATTTTTTTCTCAAATACATTATGAATGTTCATCAAATATTGGTTGACTTCGTCACATAACAAAAAAAGACCACTAATTCTACCCATAAAACATCGTTTTATTGAACTTTTGCTGTAAAATTTCCATGAAGATTTGGAAACTGTTTTGAATGCAGTGAGAATAATATTGGGTCACAGAGGGAAGCGTGAGTCGATGGTTAAACGCTTGATTTTCACATGCTATCGTCCAACCTGCGTTAGGAATTACAAGCTTAAAGGTAAGACCTCGTTAGTCCTTAGCTCACACAAGTTTCGCCTTCTGAGGGTTGTCGTTCATAAGGGTGCGATAGCTAGTTAACGGAAAAAACATATTTTTTTTTATGCAGAAAATGTTGAATTCTGCAAACTGAGCAGATTGTTTCAATCATGGGCCAAATTCCAGTGCAAAGGTTGATGCCTTCAGTGAAACCATTAACATATACTGGAGTTGACTATTTTGAACCTATCTTTGTGAACGTTGGACGAAAATGAAAAAAAGACGAAGAGTCATTTATACATGTTTGTCCATGAGAGTTGTGCATTTATCAGTTCCCCACTCTTTGTCAACTGNTCTGTTCTTAATTTGTTATCACTCAAATTTCTGAGGCGCTGAGGAAGAATTGAAAATAGCAGTGAAAGATTTGAAATAAGGTAAAGTTACTAACATACAAAGAGGAATACGTTGGAAGTTTATAGCACTAGCTTCAAACCACATTGGAGGCACATGAAAAAGGATGGTTCGTTCAATTAAAACAACTTTCAATATAACAAATAATGGACAAACTGTAAAAGACGAATCATCACAAAAAATTTTTGTAAGTTCAAGCCCTCTAACGAAGACATCAAGTGATCCAAATGACTTCGAAACGTTGACGCCAAATCATTATTCGAAGGACAATCTTTTTCCATGCACAGCTCTTATAGACAAGCATGTGAAAATAACTCCCCATCTTTTTTCTCACCTTCGTCCAATGTGTACCGAGAAAAGTCTGAAATAGTCAACTCCGATATAAGTACTATAATGAGATAATTATAAACATTTATTCAAACAATATACCTATGCTTACCTAGTTTCATCCAAGGTGAAAAGTTTTGTTCTTCTCATTTCATTGATCTCCTCCGTCATTGATTCCATATGTCGCTCAATAAGTTCCTCCATTTTGTTTGTTCTGTGACTAACACATTGTTCACCCACAGAACAGTGAAGTTGAACTCGTAAAATTAAAATAATAATATACTACGAGTTTCGTGGTGGCCGTGGTAGTGGACGGACGTGCCGATAACGTCCGTCCACAATGAAGATACGCGGATGCCACGTGCTATCGCGGGGCTTCTATTTATGTTGTGATTGTCTATTGTGCAAAGATATTGAAGTTTATGTGAAAGTTTAGACAAAAATGTGAAGTGAGTGCCCCCTTTATTCACGCCGGTATCCAGGCCGGGTGGTTCGGATAACCACGTAAAGAGAGCCATGTATGTGAATTAAAAACCCGAAAGTCTCCCGAAAAGGAAGCGACTTGAAAAATATATGTGAAAAAATCCAAAAGGTCTTCCGAACAGAAGCGACAATAAAAAAGTTGAATTGTTCTCATCTTAAAAAAAGTTAAAAAAGTGGTGGCAGCATTACTTCGAGCTGCTCCCCCCAAACGAAGCTTCTGTCATATTTGATAGGAGGAGCCTGGACAAATGCGCCCGAGTGGGAAGCAACGATGCTGTGGCAACGTCCAACAAAATTAGAGAGAGAGAAAATATACCACATTCTTTATCTTTAGTTGAAAATTGAAACTATTGGTAGTGGAATTTCATTATATTCTCTTTCAGAATAAAAAAATTAAAGAAATGTCTGGTGTAGGAGCAGCTTCAAAATTATCATTACCAGGTCCATTGAAAGTAATTGGTAAAAAACATCTGGAAATTGCATCACAGTGGTTCGTAATATATTCAGTTCTACAATTAAAATTATGTAATATATCAATCTTCTGTATAGGGTTGGATCTGCTATAGTCTTTGGAGCAACAGCAGCAGCAACTGTTTGTTATGCTACAGATTGGCGTGTGGTAGTTGGCTATATACCGTATTACAATGGAAAGTTTAAAACAGAAGAATAATTGGAATTTTTAGATATTTTAACTAGAGTGAAATAAGTAGTTTTCTAAGTCCAATAAACATCTACTGAAGATACTTCTTGTGTCTATCTAAGGTAAGTAGGGCTAGCATGGGAAAGTCTGAAACCTTGAGAGATTCAAAGTTGTATAAATTCGGGAAAAGTTGCCCATTTTAGACCTTATTTAAGTAACATTTTGAAATTAGTAAATTCAGATTTTATCCAGAGGTATTTGAAAAGTACCTAAATTAGCCAATTTTGTGTTAATGTTTTTCTATCATTATTCAAAGATTTTAAAAAATCAAAACACTTCCTCATTACCAATTTCTAAGCTGTTTGAAAGGGCTTCTGCAGGATTTTTAATCCATAATTTCATCTTTGATAATTCGTCACCAATTTTACTTTTTTAAATGGACCGGAAAATTGGAATTTAATGAATTTCAAGAAGTCATTTAAATGAGTTATAATTTTAATTTAAACAACTTTGTATCTCTCATGGTTTCCGATTTTCCTTTGTTGGTCCTCTTTATCTTGGACTCTGTGTATTCTTTAGGTTCCAATATCCCTATACAACACTTACCTAAATTACCCCTGGATAACTAAAAATGTACCAAATTTATGAAATACTTCAGACATTCTACGAGAAGTATCAGGCAACTGCTGAACTCATCTCTAACAATTTATAATGATAATGTTTATTCACCATTTAATAATACATAATGTAGAAAGACAGAGGTAAATATAACTATAAAACTAAATTGGACATCCTTAACTTGAATACTCTGGCTCATAAAAGATTAGAATCGAATCTTACACTAATTCACAAAATAATCAATAGTAGCATCAACTTGTTGAACTTTTAACTTCAAATGTAAATCAAAAGAGAACAAGAAATACAGGAATCTTCAAAGTACCCTTTCATCATACCAACTACGGCCAGGATGAATCTTTAGGTAGAATATTGAGACTTGCAAACTCAAGGTGAATTGATAACTACTCAATTCTTTGGAATCATTCAAAAAGACTGAAAATATTGTATTGATTGGCTTATTTTTGCCTTTCTTTTTTCTGACACTTATCTGATAGTTATAGTACATACAGTGCCTTCATTTCAAAACTTCCCACCCTTAGTACTTCTTTTAGCAGGGAGAATTTGCCGTAGGCAAAAAACACGTCAATTTAGATATCGAGAAGGAAGTTTAAGACCAGTGCCGGTGATTTTTTTGTCGTTCAACTCCCTTACCCCTAGCTACCTTCACTTGATAATTTTGATTGGCACCCCCTATTTTGTAACATAATTTTAAAGATCTTAAAAATCCTCACTCAACTCCGTTTAGAAAACTGAAATTGGCTGATCCGTTCTCCTGAAATAGGCCAAAAAATAAAATGAATTATAACAAAATGCAAAAATTTATGGAACCGCTACCACCGACTCAATAACGGTATGTTTATGTCTCTTTTTTACACAGAGTTACACAGAATTAAATGGTGAAAACATTTATCAGAATTAGTTATTCCTGATTTTAAACTGTTTGTCAAGTGGTGTCAGTTGCACTGACAGTAATACAAATCGTATTGTGTACACTGTACAAGAAAGAACTGAAATTATTTTTATTTATGGTGCTGAAGATAGGTGTGCTCGTAGGAAAGCCAGGTTTTTAATAAAAGGCATGCAGGCCAAAATGTGAGTCACCGATATGTTCTACACCTTGTTCAAAATTTTAAAGAGACCGGTTCTGTGTGCAACAAAGCGGTAAAGCAGCTGAGAGTTCTTACGGAAGCCACACAGATTGAGATTTTAGGTCAATTCGCCATTGAGCCTACTACTTCAATTTCGAAAGTCGCTAAGTTAGTAAATATTTCAGTTGGTTCTATACACAAAGTTTTGAAACTCAACAAGTTATTTTCTTACAAAATGAGTATTCTTCAGCAACTCAGTGAGGATGACTATGAGAGGAGAATTGAATTTTGTGAAATAATGACTGCGAGAATTCAAAATGACCTGAATTTAATAAAAAATATTTGCTTCAGTGATGCATCAACTTTTTTTTTCCTAATGACTTTGTAAATAAGCATAACTGTAGATACTGGGCTAATGAAAATACACACTTGTTTCGAGAGGATCATACGCAATATCCACAAAAAATAAACGTCTGGGCTGGAATTCTGGGAAACGAAATAATTGGCCCTATTTTTATTGAAGAAAATTTAACTGGTCAATTGTATTTAAACTTATTGGAAAATGTAAGCGATCCACTCATAACACAGTCCTTAGAACGTCGCTTTTTTCACAATAATACTAGTATTTTTCGATCGTTATTGTTTTAAGCTTATTAAAAAAAAAATAACCTTTAAGTTCGATATTCTTCAAAAACGTGTTTTTTAGTTTTTTTTAAACTATATTTATGGGTTATGCTTCATATGGTCGAAACATAAATGCGACCTAAAAATCACGCAAACCCGTCTATTCATTCATATATCCACACTCTACTACCTAAATGTATAAACCAAAATTATTTCAAATTCACCATATCAATCTTATATATTTCGTTCAGAGACCCTATTGGGTATAGAACATTTCAATCACAATGAACAATAATAAAGTTTTCATCCTAAAAAAGTAACCTCTTCTTTTACAATCAATATGCACAATCACAAATATACAGGTTGTAATTAAATAAGTGTAAAACATTTGAGGAGGTGATTCCTCATAAAAAAAATAGGATCTTTCATATAAAAAAATTTCATTGGAGCATCCCTTGTTAAGATTCAGCCCCTTAAAGAGGGTACATATGTGTATAACAATTTTTTTACAAGCACTAAAAAAGTTACAATATTGAAATAAACCTGACGTTTTGTACTACCAAAATGACAATTAGCCAGAAATTTATNTTTTTAAGAGAAGTGCATCTAGTACTGGTGGAGAAAGTTTCTTTGGACGTCAGAAGATATATGTGTTTTATGCATGATGGGGCTCCCGCCCATTTTAATCAAGTAGCACGTCAGCATTCAACGGAAACATATGCAAATCAGTGGATAGGTCGAGGAGGACCACAGAACTGGCCCGCTCGATCCTCGGATCTCAAACCTCTCGATTTCTCTATTTGGGGCCATTTACAGCATTTGGTTTATCGTACTCCTGTCTACTCACTGATCCATCTGGCTCCTTTTGAGATATTTGAACAAACTGACTTCTGTCCAACGAGTAGGATGAAGTCAGTTTTGCAGCTGTGCCCCTTATTCCACCCAGCCAGAGCTTCTTGAGCAGTGCCTCATGGGGAATACAATCAAAAGCTCTACTTAAATCGCAAAAGAGCCATTGTCAATTCCTTCAAGGATATTATTGTAAAAATCAAGTGAAGGTGTTGCAGTAGATTTTCCTTTTCTGAAACCGTGTTGTTCTTTTGATATCAGATTATATTTCTCTATGAAAGATGTGAGTCTGTCTAAATTGCAGTACTCAAATACTTTTGCAAAAGGAGAGATTCCCTGCGCGATTTATCTTTCTTTTTATATATTTGAGTTATCTTTGCCGACTTCATATGACTGGGAAATATCCCTGTTTCTAGAGAGCGGTTAATTATATGTGCAAGTGGTCTAACCAGGTCCTTGCCAAATTCTCTCACAATAGCTGTGGGAATTTCATCAGAACCTGTAGACATTTTATTTTTGAGTTTTTGTATTATGCATCACTAAAAAGTATCAAAACGATCGAGTTAGGATTGGATTTTCTTGTGAAATTGAAATTAAGAATTTCGGGTATTGACTCTACTACTTTTTTGGAGCCTCTATAAAGAAATTGTTGAACAAGCTTGCTAATTTCAGAGGATTAGTGATTTCTTTGAAATTGTGTACAATTTTTATGTTATATTTTGACGTTTCTTTATTTCTAAGTGTATTTATGATTTTCCACAATGTTTTACTTTTGTTGTCCGACAAAGAAGGACTCACAATGGGTACTTCTCTAAGCCCCCTACTAGCTGAAATTTTCATGGACAACTTAAAGAAAAACTATTTGACAACACCAAACTTTGAAAAACTTCATTTACAGGTACAGACATGTAGACTATTATCTGCTCAAATTAGACCAAAGCATGTACTCGGGACTAAAGGTCACGAAAACTGGCGTCTAAATAATGTTTTTCCTAAGATCCATCATCGTGTCTGAGATATAACGATTCAAAAAGTTGTAATCATAGTATGCACACGTTTCCATGCTACCTTTGAGGTAGTGTATTTAGCGCGTTTTTTTAACGTGGTTTCCCCGGTTGGCCTATTCCACGATTTGTTGTGATTCTTTTTAATTTGAAACTATTGAATAATAAAAAATATTGGCAAGGATTGGAGATGACAAAAGCGGTGTGAATTAAAAAAATAGGAAAATTCATGATTCATAATTCTATAACACTTCTGCTTCCTCTTCTCGTTTTTCTTCTTCATCATGCGTGCAAGTAAATTGCACCCATGATGTACCTACATGACGTTTCCTCGTTGGCATTAAACGAATCCTCAACTGTTGGTGATTATATAATAATAATCTTTATTTGAAATAGAAATCCTAATATACAAAAATTTCAATAATAACTATTACATTAATTATTTGATTAAATGAATGAACATCTGCTGTTAGAATTGAAGGGGTTACTGAATACAATAGTCTGTGAAACAATAATACATATACAAGATGAATGCCATTTTTCATTGATGTACCCCAGAAGATTGCATTTGAATGAACTCAGTGTTACACTATCCTTGATATGAATGGGTAGATTATTATATTAAATCAACCCTTTGTGAAATAAAGAATTCATATCTTTTTTGTAATTGGTTTTATTTACATGAAAGTTTGAATCTCCTCTTTTCATTCCTCTTTTTTAAGTATTTAAATATTTTTTTAAAGGAAAAGGTTGAAATGATAAGTTTAAAATGCGTTGTTTTAAAGCTCTTTTATGAAAACTACATTCAAGGTATTTTATCGAACTACTAGGGGCAATTGAAGTCACACATGAAGATCAACGAATCAGTTTCGACGTGGAAAGCCTTTATACCAACGTTCCGGTAGAAGAAGCACTCCAAATCATACAGAGGAAGCTATCCGAAGACGGGGACCTAAAATATAGAACGAATTTATCTATAGAAGTAATTATGGAATTGCTAGGATGCTGTGTGCGAAACTGTTATTTCCAACTGAAGGGCGAATTCTTTACACAAGATGAGGGACTGCCAATGGGATTGCCACTTTCACCAGTCATAGCCAACATATACCTATATGGAGTGGTTTGAAAATCTGGTCACTGAAGAAGCTCACAAGAAACCTCGTGTCTGGTTGAGATACGTTGATACCACCTTCGTAGGAACTTCCGTAAGAACTTCAGCGTAAGAACTTCCATCACTTTCACAATGGAGAAGGAAGTCCACGACGAATTGCCTTTTTTAGACGTATTGGTAAAGAGGACCGACAGTAAATGGGAAACATCTGTATACCGAAAATCCACTCACACGGGACAGTATTTGAACCACGAATCCAACCACCATCAATCGACTAAAAGAGGAATCATCAAAACTCTATTAGACCATGCTTTCGGACATTAATACGAAGGAAGGTCTCGAGAAGGAACTAGACACCATCAAAAATGATCTTCAACGAAATGGCTACTCAAAAGCGATGGTGGAACAGACTTTGGCTAAAAGACAGCAGGAGCCCCGAAAGGAAGAGAAGCCGTCGCAACCAGTGCTTGCACTTCCCTACATCAGACGATTATCGGAAAAGATACGAAGAATTGAATCCTACAACATCAAAACCTTCTTCAGATCCGGAAACACCATCCGTAGCAGCCTCACGCAAACCAGGCCACCAAACGCGAACTGCGATTCCAAGAATTGAATTTACCGGATACCCTTTGAGTGCGGAAAATCCTATATCGGTGAAACTAAGAGGCCATTTAATGTTCGCATTGCCGAGCACAAGAAACATACAGCGAGGGGAACTAGCAAATCAGGAATAGCAGAGCATGTTTGGACCCATCAACATAACATCGAATGGTCCCAAGCTGAGATCATACACAAAGAGGAACATTGGTTCAGGAGGAAATTCAAAAAGCCGCATACATGTTATCCAACAATGTATTCAGCCAAGCTAGCGTAGAGATACACAACATATGAAAACCCATAATCAAGCGAAAAATGGCCAACTCCCGCCAAACGGTCATCTCCCACTAAACCAGTGAAGGGGAAAAAGGAAAGCAGAGATAAGTGAAAATATTCAAATGACCTCTAAATAGTCAGCTCACGGAGGAATCAGTCCAGTCATCACCTGAAGACGATTATGGATACTAACAAATGAAACGTCGTGAATTAACTTGGCTTGGAATCTCTTAACTTTTTTAATTTTATTTTCCGTTCAATTTGTTTCTTTTTTTTTCTTGTATTTTATTTCACTATTATTTCATTTCAGGGTTTTTTGCTCAATTTAATTGTTTTTTCAGCTATTGATTTTAAAACTTGTTCTTCAATTTTTATTCTTCATTTTTAGTTCTTTCAGGGATTTCAAATCATTTTATATAATATCAGACAATGGAAGTTCGAACTAATGAAATTCATTAATATATATGCTAAACTGTTCATAAACGGCCACTCCTAATATTTTTTCCAAGGGTGGTAGAGTATTTAGGACGATAGTTACTAGAGTCATGAATTATATTACCTTTTGGTACTGGAACTATGGTAGGTACTCATTTTTAGTTGAAGCGGTATTTAACCAATTGCTAAGGATGTAATAAAATGTCTCGTTACCTGAAAAATACTTTTAAAAATTTTGTTGTTGCGAACATCAGAGTTGCATTTATTGTCCAAACTATTAATGATTCATTTCAATTCACTCAAGTTTAACTATCGAAAGCTCGGAAATTTGCAATTTATGACTGGCAAGTCAGTGTTTTTCAATACTAATGATGGCGGAATATTTGATTTTATTTTCAAAATACTATCAATGAAGTATGAGTTAAATCTCTCTGCTTTTTCAAGGTCGTTACTTGCAACAATCGTCAATCGCTAACTTGATGTTATTTGTTATCTTATTGATTTTTTGTTTCAAGATTGGCTTTAGTGTTAGTCACATTTTTTAGGATTGTTTATGTGATTATCAATTTTGTTGGTGTAGTAATCTTTTTTTTCTTTTCAAACTGTTGTAAACTTGATTCCTGAAATATTTGAGAACATTGGAGCACGACCGGCCTTGGCATGACATGCTAGAGAACAAAAGAGTCCAATTTTTTTGCAACCACATTTAGCACTTCATCCTTTTTTATAGTTGCAAAAAATTGTGTTTAGTAGTATTTTCATCGCAGGTGGGAGTAAGGTCTGAACTGGTTCTGATGTATTGTCTACCAACTTCCAACCCCAGTCTTTTGGGTCTAGCTTATAACCAAGTCACACTTGTAATATACCCGTAAAAGATGTTGATGATCAGCCGCTGAGTTTGAAGAAAGACAAACTAATTGCACTTGTTTTTTTAACAAAACATGCTTATCTAAACACCTAGATTTTTTAAGAGCTTCATACATAGAGAGAAGACAGCGAATTCCGTTGCTGATAACTTCTTGTGAAGTTGAATTACTCTTTTAAAAAACTTCAGCACATTGAACTGAATTTCGGGAAAAAAAAGTTTTGACTCTCTATATCTCCATCTTGATACAAAACAGCTATTTTCATATATACATTGAATTACACGAAGGAAAAATGCTTTTGAATCAAATACTTTCATATACACGCTGAATAGAAACACTTATCTATTCAGTTTGTATTCCAAACATTCGTAATGTAATTGAATCAGATATCATTCACAGGATTGCTACACAATATACTTGTGATGCACTGTTTGAAACCTTTGGTGTGGTAATGAATATTACGACTGGAGTTTTATCCCAACACCTTGACACGTGTTTCAATCACCAAGTGATTATCTTCTAGAGGAAGATTGAAATTGAAAGGAAGATTAATCTTCCTCTTGAAGATGATCACTTGGTGATTGAAATACGTGTCGAGGTGATAAATTGATTGAGGCCAAGATTTTCAGTGTTACGATCTTCGTTCGGTTTTGAAAGCCGTCGTGGTTTGGAACTGTATCCTAACGTTTCGCCAGCACAAGTGGCTGGCTTCTTCAGAGGTCTATTCATCCTGATGGTTCACCGATGACTCGTGATTTCTAGTTCTTCAGCTGTATTTATGTTGACACAGGTAACCCGCCTAGTTGGTGCATTGTTATTGCCTGTTACATTGCGTTGCACTGCTGCCACCTTAGCATCTTTCAGTATGGGATTCCAAATCCGATTGAGCGTTATCGCCTCCTCTTTTCCACAGAAAATTACAACAGAAAAGAGGAGGCGATAACGGTTAACCGGATTTGGAATGTAATGTAACAGGTAATAACACTTCGGCCAAAGATGCTAAGGTGGCAGCAGTGCAACACAATGTAACAGATAATAACACTTCGGCCACCCGTGGGTTGCGCTACCTATCGGGCGCGTCCCCAGGTGGCGGATAGGTGGACGGCCAAGGGGCTGGAGGCCCTGTTTCGGGAAGCCAATGTGGCATTATGGATGGCGTCGTCGGACTTCTGGTCAGTGGCCGAAATAAGTAGGGTGAGGGGAACTAAAACCCCGCAAAAGCCTTTGCAAAACATGCTACCGTGGACCAGCCTACCCAAGCTAAGGTGTAAGGAATCGTGCCGACAGCTGAATATCCGCAGGGTGATATGCGATCACGAACGATCCCCTTGGGGAACTGGGCGAAATCTCATTGTGACCAGCCTACCTCTGGTAATGCGCGGCTCTGCCAGATATGACCAACTATTCCCTTGCTACTCGTGGGAACACACATGAATGAAACAACAGAAACAACAAAAACCAATCCCGAGGTTGGACAGAAGTACTCACCTCAATCTAAGTCGGTGGCTGGGGATGAACAGAAATGTCCACCCCAATCTACATCACCTCCAACAGCAAGGGCACTTCCTGAGGCGGGCGCCAAGAGCTCCGCCTTGAATAAATGCAAGGAACCGGCTGCCCCTGCAGAAAAGCTCCCTTACTTGTGCTTCTCCACGGAGGGAACCCCAAGAACATTGAAGAAGCACCGTAATGACAGTAATATCGCTGCACCTTCCAAAACCTTCGCGGAGGCCACCGTGAGACACCTCAAGGTTGCCAAAGAGAGTGTTTGTTCGGCGAGTCTTGGCCTACACCTGTCAATATTAAGGAGATGTCTCCTAGTGACCTGTTCACTTTCCTGGAAAGGACAGGACGGACGATGGCCTAGGAGGACAACTCCTCGGTAGGATGCTCAATGGGTCACATGTGGCCTCAGTGCTGTGAGTCTACACTCATCCTCCCTACTCTACAGATACCAGAACACTTCGGCCAATAAACAGGCACCAACTAGAAAGGCGGGCTAACTGTGTCAACATAAATACAGCTTATGAACTAGAAATCACGAGTCATCGGTGAACTACCAGGATCAATAGATCTCTGAAGAAGCCAGCCTCTCGTGCTGGCGAAACGTTAGGATACAGTTCCAAACTACGACGGCCTTCAAACCCGAACGAAGATCGTGACGTGTCGAGGTGTTAAAAATAACGCGGTGTGGTGAATAAAACTCCAAAAATATTTGCTATACAATATAGTAAATGAAAAAAAGGTAAAATTTCATTTACATGGAACACTGTCATCATCACTGGTAGACATCCGATGTTTAGCTCAAGACACTTACCTTATCGGATCTTCAGTACCAAATCTGGATAACATTTTGAAAAAAACAGTCAAATCATTCATAAAATTACGACTTTATGTAACGAATGAGTTTGATCTACTTATGTCATCGATGACAGTAAGTACCTGATGACATTCATTTGCTCATTTGATTGAATCCCAGCTATAGTAATCTTCTTTAAATTGAAAGGAATATATTTTTAGGAGAGATTATTTTTTGGGAAAGAAAGGTTTTGGCTTTTTACTTTCATATAAACATTGAATTACACGAAAGAAAAATACTTTCAAAACAAATACTTTCATTTGAACAATGAACAATACAAAAACACTTTTTTCGTTTCGCCGTAAGATACTTGCCTTATCCGGCTTTTAAGTACGAAATCTGGATAAACACTAAATTCGGTAAAGCAAGATTGTGGAAGATTCCCACATTTTTTTTGTATAAAGATGGAGAAAGAGAGTCAAAGTCATATTTTACAGTTTAATGCTGTATTGATACAATTGTTCTTTACTTTTACCAGTGAGATATTGATATTTTCAACTATAAAACTTTGATATATTTCTGGGAATTACCACTTTTCTGGTTGAACATAAATTTCAATGAGGTACGATAGTAACGAGGGTTTCTTAGAAACTGAGCAGGATCTCAAATTTTCTAAATATTTTTTTCTCAATTTTGTCAGTGGCTTTCCAATAACTGAAAATTTCGAGAAAAACTGTGTTTCTTTCAGGAAATGGACAAAATACTTTTGCTATTTCTCTCAAACAAAGTTTCATGTGACCGCAGTACTAATAAAAATTCTGATGGGGAAATTGTTACTGGAACCAACACAAATGAAAGGCTTAATCATAAGTCAGTAATATTTCGTCAGAATACTGCAACTAGTAGGTCATAAAACTAGGAACTGATATGCCAGAAAATGATCAGTTTTTCAATAGGAATTGTAGATGGAATGGAATATAGATGCTTGGAACTAGGGAGAGATAAATATTTTTATTTTATTCAAAATTATGTTGAATTCATAGATCAAAATTGCTTTAGTATATTCTTCAGATTCATTTTTTTAAAGTATATAATTACTACTTTACAGAATAACAAATTGATGTATAAGTTTTTTCAACTGAACTGTCTAAAACTATAACACGTTAAATATATATTTATTATAGTAGACTCTATTAAATTCTTAATGGGTTGGAATACAGTATATCACAATTTAAATAGTTTTCTAAAACATTTTAATAGTGGTCGTTGCAAGGTCCATATCACAGAATATAAAGTTGTAGCAAGTCCCAGAAGAAATAAATATTTGTTATTGTTAGAACTTTTGGCAAACCATTTTGTGTAAACACTTAAGACAACAGCTAGTCCTCCAAACAGGAATGCAATTGTTCCACTAGCTTGATGTATCAACTTAATAATACTTGGCTTGATATACTTTTTCAGTTCTACATCAAACAAGGCTGCTGTTCCATTTATTACGGCTGGAATGCATGCAACTAATGATATTAGTCCAAATAATGCGTGCCAACTTTTGAAGTGCTTCTTGTTAAGTCTGTTTTTATTCACTACTGCTATCAAAAATCCTATAAAAACCAGCAAAAGAGCTATTGATAATATAATCCAGTGGTATCTGAGTTTCCAGGTATGATTGAGCCGCAATTTCCTCACAACTGGATTTTCTTTGGAAATAATCAGAATTCCCTCGGTCATTAAAAGCATCCACTGAAAAATAATGAAATACAAAATTATTCCCTGCTATAAAAAAATAATGAAGTGAAAATGTAAGAAATAATAGAGTATATACATCAAAAAAGTCGAGGGGATAACAATAAAAATCCATGTAGCTTTTCAGGAACACCTGGTATATTCCTTAAAATCTATACAGAACCTGTTTACAAGTATTTTTGTAGTGTTGAATTAAATGTACATTCATAAATTTCGTTTTTAGAATACAAAATAACGATATGCCTGATTAGTTGTATCCAGTCACTTGTTTAAAACATGCAACGATAACATTTGATACGTGAAGAGCAATGGGGAATGTTCTTCCTGACGAAAATCAAATAGTTTTCATAAAAGAGCTCTGAAACAACGCATTTTAAACTTATCATTTCAACTTTTTTCTTTGAAAAAATATTTAAATACTTAAAAAAGAGGAATGAAATAATGCATTCAACATTTAAAGGGATTCGTTTCTATTTCATCATTTGGCAACATAGGTTATAGCTAATTTGTGAGAGAGGGACATACAGACCGTACACAAGAAACAAAAGCCACAGAGCATGCTCAGGACCGTCTTCTGCAGTTGCAGTCAATACGAGACCAAATGCTAACTGCACCTCAGTTGGCAAATCAACTACTACATTCACTTCATATTATTGATAGCGGCCAAACTGTGGAAAAATATACTTCAATAGTATGGACTTCACTCTAGTACAAGGCCGTAGCCAGAAAATGATTTCGGGGGGGGGGGTTTGGTGGAACAGTAGAAAAATATGAAATATAAAAATAAACGAAAGAAAGAGAATGGTGTTACATGGTTTTTTAGCTTTCTTTGCAACGAACAAATCAATTACCTCATCGGTGTCGATGTCAATTCTATGGTGGATTGACATTAACGCCAAACCGTTTAGTCGTTCCTGGCTTGTGGAGTTTCTTGAAAAGTTTTGAGGCGTTTCAGAGGAGAGAAAGTCCTTTCAGGGGTAAATCTGGAAACAGGTAGTGTCGCCAAGATATTTAAAAGTTTGTACGCACATTGCCGTAAGGTTTTTCCATTGTGTTTCAGGGAAGTTTTTTTCAATATTCTCTTTCAAGCACTTGGTTCGTTTTGTCAAAAACTTGATAAAATGTCTAAGGGCTTTTATAATTACAATAGTATATGTAGAGTAGGGAGAGTGAGTGTAGGCCCACAACATTTAGGCCATATGTGACCCATTGTATATCTTCTCGAGAAGTTGTCCTCTTAGGTCATCGTCCATCCTGTCCTTTCCAGGAAAGTGAACAGATCACTAGGAGACATCTCCTTTATATTGGCAGGGGTAGGCCAAGACTCGCCGAACACACAATCTCTTATTGACGACAACACCGGACACTCGCATAGGACATGCCTGACAGTTTCACCTTCTGTTCACACATCCTGCATTGAGGTGTGTCCACTAGCCCCATATTATGGAGGTGTTTTCTTAGTTGACAGTGGCTAGTTAGAAATACTACTGTTAAGAGTAGATTTTTCCTGGTCATCTCCAGATATTTCTTCGGCGCCAGCTTCCCAGGGTCGCCAGGGTGATCCTGGCAAGATTGCATCCTTTGATTTCATCCCATCTCTTTAGGGATTGAGCATGGGTGTAACGTTTGGCTAGTTCCGCAATTGTCGAAGTCATCAGGCCGTAGGTGCCACTGGGTCCTAAAATTCTTAGTCCAACCGCTTCCTTGGCTAAAGGGTCGGCAATGCCCTTTAATCCACCTCAGGATAATGTTATTATCTACCGAGGCTTTAGCTAAATCTTGGTGGCACTCTGGTACTAATCCTGAGATAACACGTTGTCTGTTCAAGGCTAATAGGGCTTGTCTGCTATCAGTGCAGATTGTTAAGTTTTTGCCAGAAATTCCTTTCCTGATTGTCTCTTTTGTGGCAATTGAGATACCAGCCAGTTCTGTTTGAACCACGCTGGTATTTTTTCCAATTCCCCACTTAATCTTTAGGCTTAGTGATCTGGAATACATCCTACATCCTGAGCCTTCTTCAGTTTTTGAGCCGTCTGTATATATGCGTATTGCATTTGTAGCATCCGACTCTGTGTTCTGTTTTATTTGTATTTTGTAGGGTTTATTAAACACAAACCTGGGTTTAATTGCATCACTGGTTTCCTGCAGCAGAGGTTGCGCAGTGAGCGCTTCTCGCCATAGGCTCAGCCTCAATTGACCTATTCCTACTTCGAGGCATACACCAGCCGTGCGTAATCGTTCCATGGCCATTAACGCAACCTCCTTTACGTACAGTTCTAGAGGGGACAGACCAGTAATTAATTCCATTGCCGCGGTTGGTGTTGTTCTCATAGCTCCTGTTATGTTAAAACAAGTCAATCGTTGTATTTGATATAATTTTTGGATAGTCGTTGCTTGTAGAACGGGGTGGAACAATCCCCCTTGATCCCCCCTGGCTACGGCCTTGCTTTAGAAGACTACTCCGCGTCCCCCTATTAACCCTCCGATCAGTGAAAAGGTCCGTATGGACCTTTTACAATATTTGTGAGGTCATAACTTTTTGTTATCATGCGCCAGAAACGTGTCGCTACATGTATTCCATAAAAACAATATGCTGAATCTATTGAAACAGGTTTCAGCCCAATTCAATCTCCGGTTCCATTATTTCTTTTGTTCCAAGCCATTTTCGACGCAAGGTACAAGGTCCCTGTGTGCAAAAAAACCGTTGAATGTGTATTTGACCCAGGTACTTGCCAATGTGAGACCATCACTTGACGAATAAACACGTATTATTGCGCATTTGGTCCTGGCAAATTCGTATACAATTTCCAGTGTCTCCTTCAGGTCATGAACATACTGTGAAAGAGGTACCTCTTGAGATTCATCGGAAGGACTGCCATACAATACATCTATCGGAAGCTTCAGTTCCCTACCAGTTAACAACATGGTATTTTGTTTCTTTGGTTATTCTTCATGTTAATAAGGTAATTTTGTTTGTTTTATTTTTTTCTAGTGTATAATTATGTGTGGTAGGTTTTATTCTGTAGAACAATGACAGATGATGAGTGGGATCTTGTGAACATGGTTCTGAGTAATAATATTACACGCTACCAGCGTTTGACTGAGGAGGAAAAACGTATCGCCGATGCAAAATGTCGGGCTTGTATGGAACCTAAAATGGGCGTCAATGGTGACCCTCTTGATGACGGCGATTATGACACTGACCTTACGTATCGGCTAGAATATGATAGGGATGTGGCCGATGTTGAAGGAAAGATAGAATCCTATGTCAATCAATTGCAGCCATTGCTGCTCTTCCTCAAACTGAGACTGATGTAACTCACTTTATTTCAAAAAATGGTACGAAATGGTACGAATGGTACGTATACGACTGTCCACCGGGCAGTCGTATACGTGCTCATAACATTATCGACTACAAACAAAATAAACCAGGACCAACGAAGAAGATGATTTATGATTCGCTTTCTCTGATCACCGAAGATATTGCTCAAATTATCATACGCGAAACGAATCGCAAGGTCAACAGGTAGCCGCTACATGGAATAAAAAAAAATTACCATGCAGAAGCAATGGAAAACATTGACTCTGAAAGAGTTTGACACGTTCATAGCGATTATCAAACACCAAGCCTGTGAAGTAACTATGGGGCTCAACTCATGCCCCAATATTCAAAGTTGCTTTATCGTTTTGTGTCAATTACAAAATTCACTTGCCACTTCATAACGAAAAACTGAATTAAAGCTAATTTATATTCAAAATATAATAATAACTAAGACTTTGTTTCGAATGAATATATAAGTAAATATGTAAACGTGTATCCTATATAGTATATGTGCGATATACTTTTTTTGTGATTTTCTGTTATTTGGTTATAATAGACTAATTTATTTCGATTTTTATGTATTATATTTAGATAAAGTACATTAATTATGTTTATATTAGGCTTGCCTATCTGGAAATAAAGTTCTTCTTCTTCTTCAATAACAAATATCACTTGCCAAGCATCAAATGTACATCAATACAGTAATAACATAGGATGCAAATGCAATTTTTGTAATATTTTTGTGATTCGTTTCACTTCCTATCTGTCCAAATAAACCACACATCATTGAAAAACGCCAACACGAAATAAATTCAACCAAATAACGCGGGAAGTACGCGCAAATGCGCCATTACAGAATGTGCGAGAAAAATCAGCACTAACGGGTGATTTTTTAAGAGGTATAGTATTTGATTTTCAAAATAACACGAAAAATTTGAAAACATTGATGAAATCTTTATTGAAATCGATATAAAGATCAATATAATTTAATGTTGGAAGATGATTTCATGCAAATATTGTCCGCTGCTCCGCTTTAGATGGCCCATGCGCAAGGTCCAATTTTGGCACACTCTCTCTAACATACCGACCGGTATTTCACGTATAAATGCTTTCATTCAACCAGAAATGAGCCTCGTCGCTGAACACAATTTTTCGATAAAAATGTGGATCTTCCTCCAACTTTGCCAGCGCCCATTCACCAAATGTTAGACGTTGTGGGAGGTCGTGTAGCTTCAATTCTTGCACCAGCTGTATCTTATAGGGTTTTACATCCAAATCCTTTCGCAAAATTTCCCACGAAGTGGAGTAACAGAGGCCCAATTGCTGCGAACGGCGGCAAATCGACATTTCACGGTCACCACGAACACTGGCGGATACAGCCGCAATATTTTCTTCGGTCCTCACTCTACGTATGCGTGTTGGAGGTTTAATGTCCAATAATGTAAACTGGGTTCGAAATTTATTGACAAGCTTCCGAACAGCTCCCTCAGTAGGCCGACGAAACTGCCCATAAATTGGAAGAAGTGCACGATGCACTTTCTTCACCGAGCATGAATTCTGATAATAAAATTCAGTAATTTGCAAGTGTTGTATTCGTAAGTCGATTCATGATTAAAGTATAGACCAAACTGAACAAGTTTGACAATGACACAAGACACGATTCACGCGTGATCTG